CGGAATCATTACCCCAGGTGGGTACCTGCTCAAGCGGGGAATCCCACTCCTCCTTTTTGGAGGACAAGCCCATGGATTCTGGGGAGGGCAACGATCAGCTTTCCTTTAACAATGATAATGTTACTGTGCAGAACACCGCTATGGAGACGGAACCTGGGGAGATCCTGGACTCGCCAGAGGTCTTCTCGAGAAGTTCCTTAACAGCAAGAACTCCACCCAATTCATCTACTGATGTGCTTGAGCTTTGCCACAGGTTAGATGCAGACCTGAATAAGCCACTAAACACCAGCAGTGCTGGCGACTCTCCATCTCTGGCGGATGTTTCGTCCGACTCTGAGATCACTTTTACAGTTATGACCAAAACTGAGTACAATATGTCTGTTAGAGAAAAGAAAAAGGCTGAGGGCACGTGGATCCCTAACAGACAGTGGAGAAAGAGGAAGCGAGAGTCCTTGAGTTCTCCTGGGGAAGGTTCAGGCGTATCACCGATGCGTAGAACCGGATCCGATAGTAACCCTGGGTCGTCTCAAAATCCTCCTTCTAAGAGAAATAAAAACTCTAATCAATCAGCAGATGGACTCGTTGCAGGAAAGGCCAGCTACAGAGATCAGCTTGTGGGTCACAAGTTGGCAGTAGCTCCAGCGGCCTATCCCGATGCGAGATTCTCTGTTGAGGAATGTGATTTGTTGCAGGACAAACTGATGGAGTTGGTGTTTGGTGATGACGGCGCCAACATTCCTCATCAGTTTGAAAAAATTTACCATGAGAAGGGTGCTCTTGTCGTAACTTGTGGTAATTCTGAAACAACTGACTGGCTAAAGAGGGTGGCACCGAAGCTGGCGCTGGGAAGTGAGGGGAGTATGGAGGTCATTGTAGCAGACTATAAGGATCTGTTGCGCACGACCAAAGTGCTCCTACGCACTGACAGGCGCTTGGCCAAGGTCGAAGCCTCTAAAGTGTTTGTTCAGATTGAGCGACAAAATCCTGGTGTCACGACAAAGGACTGGCGCGTCATTGGTGGGAAGAGGAAGGATGATCATCAGATTCTTGTTCTTGCTATTGATGAAATGAATGCGCAGGTTCTGAAATATCGTGGCTGGATTATCTATCTGGGTCTGGGGAAAATACAGCTCAGAGTTATCTCTGGTGCTCCCTCTGATGACTCAGGTCCTTCAAGCGAACCTACAACACAGTAAGGCTGCCACGGCTGTGTTCTGTCTGAGCACGGTTAAGCAGTCCTTAGATTATGCCTTGATTCAGGAACCCTGGATCAATAATTTTAGAATTGCGGGGATGGGAACTATTAAGGGTAGCATCTTCTCTGCATCTGTACCACACCCTAGAACTTGCATTTGGGTTAAAGAGGGGCTAAAATGTCATCCAGTTCTAGAGCTTTGTTCGAGGGACGTAACAGTAATTAAGACTGTATGTACTAAATCCAACATAAATCTGCTGCTGGCCTCTGTTTACATGCCACAGGGCGACGATGGACTGCTCCCATCGGCCGAGGTCAGAAGATTGGTCGACCTCGCACACGAGTCTGGATCTGAACTCGTGATAGGCTGCGACTCCAATGCCCATAATACGGCCTGGGGATGCAGGGACACTAACAACCGAGGTAGGTCACTTCTAGAATACATAGCTTCTTGCGGCCTACTTGTTGCAAATGTAGGCTCAGAACCAACTTTTTTAAGTAGGATAGGCCAATCAGTAATTGATCTTACCCTGTGTTCGGCGGGTATGGCTGACAGGATTATTGACTGGTCAGTGTCCCTTGAGCCATCCCTGTCTGATCATAGGCACATTGTCTTCGGGTTGGGGAATTTCTGCGGCGGGGTTCGCTTATTCAGGAGCCCAGTTAAAACCGACTGGGCATCCTTCAGAGCTGATCTTCGGGGCAGAATTGCCTCGAACCTGAACACATCTCCTATTAACACAGTTGATGCGCTTGACGAGGCGGCAGATCGTCTAACTAGGTGCATAGTTACATCCTTTGAGGATAATTGTCCTTTGAGCAAGGGAAAGAGCAACAGGGCTAGTTGGTGGGGTCCTGAACTTGCCTCTCTTAGGAAGAGAGTAAGGGCCCAATTTAGGCGAGCAAAGATAACCAATAATTGGGATACATACCATACAACTCTCACAGAATATAACCATGCAGTACGTAAGGCCAAAAGGCTCTCATGGAAAAATTTTTGTGGAAATTTAGAGAGTATCAAGGATACTTCTAGAATACATAAGGTACTTGTTAGAGACAGGCATGTTACTTTGGGTGCCGTTGAGGGACCGGATGGTGTAATGGCTTTTGAACCTACCGAAATATTAAAGGTTATGGTAAAAACTCATTTCCCTGGTTGTATTGTTTCTGAAGTGCAGCAGGAGGAGGTGAGTCCAGAGCGGCCTAACCTGGGCCGTCGTGCCACTCATTCTATGTGGAGCACTGCTTGCCGCATAGTCACCTTCAGCAAGGTAAGATGGGCTGTTGGCTTATTACGACCCTTCAAATCGCCGGGTCCTGATGAGGTAAGACCTGTTTGTTTGCAGGAGGGTCTTGATACAATTATACACCCACTCTGTAAACTTTTCAGAGCCAGCTTAGCGCTAGGACACATTCCCTTAGGGTGGTGTAATTCGCGTATCGCATTTATTCCTAAACCAGGAAGGGATAGTTACACTGACCCTAAGTCATTCAGACCCATTTCTCTATCTTCTTTCTTTCTTAAGATCCTAGAGAAGTTGGTCTCAAGATATATGATGGATACAGCTCTTAGGACACATCCTTTACATATTAATCAGCATGCGTATGTCTCAGGAAGATCATGCGAGACTGCGTTGCACCAACTTGTAAGCAAGATTGAGAAAGCTCTAGAGAGCAGTGAAGTGGCCCTGGGTGCCTTTCTTGATATTCAAGGTGCTTTTGACAATACTGGTACTCCAGCGATTCTTAATGCGGTGAGAGCAAGAGGTTTTCACGGTATAATATGTAGATGGATTGAATCCTTGCTTCTCAGTAGGAAGGTTAGGCTCTCACTCCACAATGATACGATCGAGGCAAGAACTACTCGAGGATGTCCTCAGGGGGGGGTTCTTTCTCCTCTACTTTGGAATTTGGTAGCAGACGACCTTATAAGGACCCTCAACGAAAGTGGGGTTTTCGCCTTAGGTTATGCTGATGATGTTGCAATCCTTGTGGTTGGAAAGTTCCACGGAACCATAACTGACCTTATGAATAGAGCTTTAAGGGTAGTGGACCGTTGGTGCCAGGATGTTGGGCTCTCTATAAATCCCAGGAAAGTTGTAATGGTACCCTTCACAAGAAGGAGGAAACTGGACGGGATCGGCCCACTAAGACTGCAGGGTACTGTAATAGAGCTGCAGAATCAGGTGAAGTATCTTGGTGTAATTTTGGACAGATCACTTCACTGGGGACCACACCTTCAAAAAGTCATTGAGCGTGGCAAATGGTCCCTTATGGCATGCAGGCGGATGGTAAGTGGCACATGGGGGTTACAGCCTAAACTTATGCACTGGCTGTATGTATCTGTTGTTCGACCCGCCCTTACATATGGTTCGCTTGTGTGGTGGCCAAAGATGGAATCAACTATAGCTGTCAAAGCTTTAGCAGGAGTTCAGAGGCTTGCTCTTATTATGATAACTGGGGCAGTAAGTAGCTGTCCTGGAGCGGCACTTGACTGTCTGCTTGACATGCTACCTATTGACATTTATATTAAGGTGGTAGCAAGTAAAACAGCCCAACGCCTTAGATGCGAAAACTTATGGATAGCCTCAGGGAACAATAAAGGGCACTCTAAAATTGTTCAGGTGGTACATAATGATGAATTGGACTTACCTTCAGATCACATGTCCAAAAAATACTCCTTTGGAAAGCCTTTCAAAGTACTAATACCAGATAAGAAGGATTGGTCTGGCGGAAAAGGACCCATACCCACAGGTGACTTAGAATGCTATACTGATGGTTCTAAGATCAAAAATGGGGGCACTGGAGCAGGTGTGCATTGGATGAATGGAGGCACTGGTATTTGTCTTCCAATGGGGGTGTACCCAACTGTCTTTCAAGCGGAGGTCACTGCCATTCTAGTTTGTGCTCAAGAACATCTTAACAAAGATATCAGAGACAAAACAATCAATATCTTTACTGATAGTCAAGCGACCTTAAAAGCATTAAACTCTTACGAATTCAACTCCAGGCTCGTGTGGGATTGTCTTGCTTCTGTGTCTGAGTTGGGTAGGAGAAATTACCTTACGCTTTGCTGGGTACCAGGACACTCAGGCATTGAAGGAAATGAAGCTGCAGACAGATTGGCAAACACTGCCTCTGCGACATCATTGTTAGGCCCGCAACCCTTCTGTGGCATCTCACGAAACAGTGTTTGTTCTGCGATTGCGTCATGGGCCAAGGAAAAGCATCGCAAACGCTGGGTCGATGTTCCCCTTCTTAGGGTCAGCAAGCTTACTCTGTTTAGGCCTTCCAAAAAGGTTGCCTGTGACCTCTTGAGACTAGACAGACGAAGAATTAAATTAATTGTTGAACTGATAACTGGTCATGGAAGATTCAGGAAACATCTACAACGGATGGGCTTATATGATGGTGAACCGATCTGTAGGTACTGTGATAGGTCAGTAGAGACAGCTGATCACTTACTCTTTGATTGTATTGAGCTCTCTGACGCTAGATCGATAACTCTTGGAAATATGGCTAGAGGTGGATTTCTTCCTGAGGATGAACTAATTGGGAAGCTACAGGCATTCATTGGGCGCCTCAACTTGTAGGTCAACAAGAAAGCAATTAAGTATCTGGGGTGCGCAATAATTCGATTTCGGATGAAGTGCTTTAAGGTCTCGACCTGCCCCTGTCAGATAAGATAAGATAAGATAATACCGAAGTAGGCCTACCTAAAAATAAGTGCACTTTAAATATATTGTTTTGTCACTGTATTTAAGCACATTGCACAATTATTATTTTACTACATGTATATGCTTACCTTAATCTTTAACGATTCTATTAGCTTCATGGTTTTGTCTGCTTCATTTATAAAACTTCCCTTAAATATTTCAATTTCGATACTGTCCTCCATCATAACACTAAAATCAGAATCGAACCTGAAACAAATTGATAAATGGAATCAGACTTAATAAATTCTTTGTTTATTTTATAACAGAAAAATAAACATCAACAATAATAAACAGAGGTAGTCGTACAAATATTCCAGTTTTGGAACGCTTACCATTGCCTATACAGACATAAGGTTCCCAGTGGCAGAAGGGCTCGCAATACGGGAGGGCCCAGGGACCGAGGGGCCTGCGAAACGGCTAGTAGAAACTGGCGAGAAGAGAGGCCCGTGAGACGAGTTGGGCCAAAAATTCTAGATCTTTCTTATTGAAATTTATTAGGTATCAATTCAATAATTGTATTGAACAAAGTTATAACATTATCGTTATAAATAATATGTTATCGTCGTTTAATTTTGTTAGCCTATTCTAGGAACTAAGGTACGAATTAAACGTTTTATAACATGGGTCATTGATTATTATGCAATCTAACTTTCGTCACAAAGAAGTATTTTGACTTCTCTGTGCTTTCGTACACTGCTTAAGTCTGCCAACATTTTAAAACATCTTACCTGGAGCCTGGAGTCATGAACAATTGGGGCTATTAATATGTATTATTTTACATTTTAGTTTTGCCCTAACATTAATTGTATTTAGGTAAAATACAATTATTGCTACTCTACTGGCTTTGTTAGACTATATCTTATTTTACCTCACAATTAATCAACACTAAAGACATATGTTTGTAAGGTCAACGCATGAAATCCATACAAAGACCAAAATCTATGCAATAGGCTATTTTAGCCTTTGATAAAAGTACGTCAATCAGCTAAATTAACCAACTTTTAGTGTATAAGTTAGCCTAATTATAGCCATCGATAAACTAGGGTGGTCTGCCGTTACACTTTAGACGCATAAATGAGCGAAGCATTATTTAAAGATAATCAATGGCTAATGCAGCTAACAACCTACAATATGTTCCCTTTCAACAGTGTTCCGGTCGGCCACATTAGTCTCTGGACGTGATCCCTTTGACGAGATTGCGCAATCATAGGCACCGATGTTTCTTCAACTTGGTCTTCTTCGATTTCATCAGGACTTTCTTGGTTTTCACGTACACACGGTACTCTCATGTGAACATAGTCATTGACTGGTAGTTGTTGTAACGCTTCATCACTAATGGTTATGTCAAAATAGAATGGGTTATTTGCCTTCAGCCAAATAAGTGCTTGATGTAGTTTTTCATGTCGAACTTTGAAATCGATATGGCCAAAGACGCCTTGACGTTGGACAATGATGACTTTAAAGTTTTCGGGCAGTGTATAGGTAAGACAGATGCTATTTCATTAATATCTTGCTCAACATTAATGATGTTACCTTTGTAGTGAAACTGGCCATCCTGACCATTTGCTTGTACTTTGTAAATGCGCATAGCGGGATGTACTCGTGCAATCAACATTTCTCAAAACAAATACAGCAAAACTGTTACTTCCATTGATAAACATTCCAACTAACCTAGGATGAAAGTAAACATTGAAATGTAAACAAAACAGTTACAAACAATTAACATATGTTTATCTTATTTAAATGAAACGAGATAAACCCATATGTCATAAACCCAATATAATTTTTCTTTCAACTTACATTAAAATAACAAGCGAAATTGCTAGACCTATAAAATAAAATCCAGAAGGAAATTTGCAAATATTTTTTTACCTAAACATTGTGCTCAGTATTCTTTAGCTGTTGGCCAAATTTCATATCAATTGGTCAATCCATTACATTCTGATGCTCTTACAAAGAAGTTACAAAGTGAGGGAAAGTGAGCTTCGCTCAAAAATAATCGAATAAATAATTGATATCATGTGTCAGAAATATAAATATAGGCCTAACACCTACTTGTTATGAAACATTCTGATACAAAATAAAAAATAAGGCATTTTTATTTTTTCCAACACTTTTTACAAAAACCGATATTGATATAATGATGTAACTTTATCATCAAACCATTACTGTAATACTTATCACACCTTTTTATGGAACAAAATCCATGATATATTTACTACTGCAGTGTATTTATGATGAATCTGTTTGGCCATTGTATTGCTGATCGAAAAATAGCTCTTGGGGGGAGGGGGGAAGGCGTTTGATTATGATGTATCGGTGGTCTAAAAATAACTCATGAGAGGAGGCCCAAAAAATCAGTTTGCAGGTGGGCCTGATAAAATTATGCCACTGATTGTTCCTGCACATTCCCGCCTCAATCCACCACTGATAATAAACTGATGAATGTAATTAAGATAACCTTAACATCAGTATGTCCATAAGTTAATACTACAGATGTCATACGCGCTGCTGCTGCATAGTAACGAACAAGGGGGGATAGGCCTACTAAAGCGAACGCAGCGAACGGCAGCCCGAGCCCGCGAGCTGCGGCGTGTTCGTCAAACCAGCAGAGCAGCACGGAAAACATGGCATGGACACAGCCGTATTATAAATGATTGACTTTGACTTTAATGTGTTCAGAAATCATTTTATACTCAATCAAAGATTTTAAAATAAGATTTTTCCAGTTCTAAAAATTTATTGCTCAACATTTATTCTTTTTGGATTAAAACCTCCTTTTTGAATATTTATCTTCCAAAATTTTGGTGCCCCCTTAAATTTCCTAGTCAGCCTATTCGGAAATATGGCCCTGGATCGGTACCGTAGCGAACTTGTTAAGGCAATTTTCAAATTTCTCTAATCAGAATGTCCTTCTGACAGCCTATTATGGTGTCATCTTCCCTCATTTGGTCTACGCAGTACCAACATGGGATGTGGTAAATTAATGATTGAACTCAATTTTTATTGAGTAAAACTTCTAGTAAAGATATACCAGTGTTCAAGTATTTTAATTTTTCCTTGCTTGTTCATTCTTGAAGTTTTCACTCTTGTTCATGAAAAACAACTTTCTATCTTTACAAGCCCCAGATCTTGCCCATATTAAGTTATCTGCGAAATAGCCTCAATCTTCCGATACCTATGCTTTCTATACCACTTTTTTTTCAAAAATAGACTATCTATATTAAGTTATATCAGAGACCTGCTCTTCATTTTTACTTCACGATTGCTTTGCCAAATCATCTAAAAGTTTTGTAAGACACTGTAATTAAAAATAAATGCTGCAGCAAACCTGCCGACTAAGCGAATTTCCATTTGCCTAGATTGATTTTCAATTAATCTATTAAATTAACATTTATGTTTAACAAGTACCTAGGTTAACTACTACAGGGAAACTAATAAAGTGTGTTTTTTATTAAAATATCAATAGCCTAGTATGAAATAAATAAATCCGCCAAGTTTGATCAAAATTTCCATAAACAACCCAACTACAACCTATTATAATATTCTCCATAAGAACAACATGGAAATTATAAATTAACTATTTTTTGCATTTTCTCCTTAACCAATCACCGTACAAAAACACTTTGATATACAGTATTGTTTTTTTTTTAAAGCTCTTTGAAAAGGTCTGGAGAAAAATTGATAAATTTTGTGTTTTATGGGTAAGAAATAAGAAAAAACCCATTTTTACCCCATAAAACCCCCCTGTTCCGATCCTGCTGGTTTTCGAACTCATTCAAGTTTATCGGCCGCCTTACAGATTCAAACCAAATGTTATCAAAATCGGAAAAAAATTACTCAAGTTATCGTCTGGACAGACACGTATATATATCTCTGGTATTTATTCCGTATAGGTGCCTCCAAAAAAATTTTTAATTTTGATATCTTACTTCATTGTTTTTTACCTCCTGATTCCAAATATACCATTATTTTTCACCGCTGATGAATATTTCTCAAGATATAGCCGTAAAAATATACAACATTACAATAAACAAGGTAGGATGGATGACATTTACAAGTGGAATGAACTGTGGGTTAACTAAGCCTACAGCTGACTGTTTTCAACCACACGAGAAGCAACTGGAAGTAACAACTTTTGATCTTTATTAAAGACTGATTCTGTCATCAGCAATATGCCCGATAAGTGACGAAATTTTACTTCACTACAACTAAAACACAATACAAAAATACTCATACTCATACACGCTGCGTAGTTCTAGTCAGCTACACCATCACAAGTTCAGAATAAGTTAAGAGAATATCATGGTTGATGAGAAGAATAACATCGAGTTGATTAAACATGATAACATTTTTGTAGAAACATTTCAAGTGATTCTGTAGTCAATAATGTTTTCTATAATAGGAATTTCGTCACATTATGGAGATATAGATGGACTGGTGGACTAATTACATGTAGTTCTTATTTAGGCATGTCAGGGTGGTAGGTCGTGCTTTAAGCGAATTGGTGACTGCATTAAGTGTTTTGAAGTTAGGTTAGATTAGTAAGGTAAAGTTTAGGTTATAATGCATCGAGTTGTTAGTTTAAATGTCACCTGCAGACTGTTTTTCTAAAATTAAAAAAGCATTTTTGAAATGGTGATTTTAAGCGTTTTTCTCAGGATTTTAATTTTACAAAAACAGTCTGCAGGTGGCATTAACTAACAACTCGATTCATTATAACCAAAACTTTTACTTACCTATTCTAACCTACCTTCAAAGGTCTTAAAAACAACTATGCTGAGTGCATGGCAACGCTGGTGGCGCTGCCTACGATTGACAGGCAAAGCTCTCTCAAAACACTTAATGCTTTTTACCATGCGGTTGGCATTCTGGGTAATATGTTTTCTGTGATAGCGTTTAGCTAAGAATGCATAGCCTAACCATAGCTAGGAATCTGGCTGATAATTTACATCAATATCACTAGGCCTACCTACTTCTTCAGGATCATCAACCAGCCCTTCAAAATCACTCAAATCTTCTTATAATGCACCACGTATATCACTACTTTTGATTTTTAACACTAAAACAATGATAAACGTAATAAAACACACCAGTCATCGGTGCGAGGTTAACCAAGCTGTTTACAAATACGCACGTCAGCTGTCTGCTACAATATTTTCGGAACTAAAATGAAAAGCGTATTAAAACAGACATCAAGAGAAAGCTCTGAACCTGCTCAAAAAAACAAAACCTAACTTGATCCAGTTCAATCTGATTCAGTCAGTCCCAGAGCCGTCGCCGTAAACAGTGTTTGTGAGTCGCAAAAGCGACACATAACACTGCAACGGATGTGTTATGAGTCGCTTTTACAACACATAACACTCGGAGGGTTAAGGGGATTTTTATAGGGTAAAAAGTAGTTTTTCCCATTTTTGACCCTAAAAACTAAAAATTTAGCAATTTCATTCCAAACCATTTTGTAGAGCTTAAAAAAACAAATAATTTAGTATATTGAAGTGTTATTATGCACCTAACGGTTACGGAGAAAATTCCAAAAATCTGTAAATTTAAAATTCCTAAGTTATTCTTATGGAGAATAAGTAAACTAATGAAATGTAGGCTATGTAATTAAATTTACAAGTTCAACAAGGCCAATAAATAATAATTTTATTTTATTCACTAGCGCTTTCAGAAATTAGGTTTCCATCTTCAGGCACTATTAGGCGGCTACAATGGTACAAAAAGTAAATAGGCCTAACTTATTTACTAAATAATAAGTTTATTATAAATAAATTTAGTAAATATTTACTTTTTGTGCCAGTGTACTAGTGCCTGAAGATGGAAACCTAAGTTAGTTTCTGAAAGCGCTAGTGAATAATATAAAATTATATCGGCGTGAAACTGGCAATAGAACAGCAATAACCCATTCCACTTCTCCTACCGCCCCTCCGACGAACATACATCACAGTAAAACGTCACAACAATGATGGCGTCACAGCAGGATTCGTCATAGAGTAGACGACATAACCTCCAAAATATCAAGAGGCGGGAATTTTTTTTGCGAAACACGGCCAAGATGGCGTTTGGCGGTACACGCACAGCGTTGATTATGAAGGTTAAGTAATATATGTGTATAAAACTGTACAATACGTTGAATGAAATTAAACTACTATTTCATTATTTAGAGAATAAAGAACAATATTAAACACGTTTGAGGTTATTTTAAGTAGTAACCACCTCCAATTTTTTCCAAATGATAAAATTATTAGCTGACTACCATAAAAACCTATTGCTGGCGATTCCCCTTAAATTTTTCTTCAGTTTTTCTTTTGATACGCGTTAAACACATGATTATGAACAAAAAATTACCTCTTCTAGGTTAGCCCACTCTTTAATAGTGTAGCTATGTATCCTGGAATGCACTTCGTGTGACCTCGGTTGCACGCCGATGCTATTACAAAAATGTATGTTCAAAATGTCTATTTACATTATTTATCTGGTATTGAACAATACTAGGCACTTTTAAGCTTATTAATGTAGAAATCACATTGATATTAATACAAACTAATAAACTACCTAAAATTACTAACTAATTATCGTAAAAACCTATTGCTGGCATCTCCTCTTAACTGTTTTTCTCGTTTTCCTTTTGATATGTGTTAAACACATTGTTATGAACATAAAATGACGTAGTATAGGTTAGCCCACTTTTTAGTAGTGTAGCTATGCAGCCTGGAATGGACCTCATAGTAGAATAATAAATTACCATAAATTTCTATTGCTGGCCTATCCCTTTGGCACGATTTCCTTTATTCTTTCAAAATATGTTTATTACATCATTACGAACTAGAAAACACGTCGCCTAGGTTCGTACACTCATTTATAGTTGAGATAGGTAACTTTGAATTAAACAGGTGTGACCTCGGTTCCATATGAACCTAACTTACCAAAAATCACTTTATTTCGTTTATACATGTTAGTTACAGCTTAATAAACAATACCTAACACCATTTCGATAAAAAATATTAATATTTATCAATTTAATGCATTATTTAAAATCTGCCTCAATAGAATAATAAATTACCATAAATTTCTATTGCTGTCCTTTCCCTTTGGCACGATTTTCTTTATTCTTTCAAAATATGTTTATTACATCATTACGAACTAGAAAACACGTCGCCTAGGTTCGTACACTCCTTTATAGTTGAGATAGGTAACTTTGAATTAAACAGGTGTGACCTCGGTTCCATAAGAACCTTATTTACCAAAAAGCAAATTTTTCGTTTATACATGTTAGTTACACCTTAATTAACAATACCTAACACCATTTTGATAAAAAATAATAATATTTATCAATTTAATGCATTATTTAAAATCTGCCTCAATAGAATAATAAATTACCATAAATTTCTATTGCTGGCCTATCCCTTTTGGCACGATTTTCTTTATTCTTTCAAAATATGTTTACAGTAGACTCTCGCTCATCCGGATCGGCCTTGTCCGGACTCCCGCTAGTCCGGATCGGCAATCGTGATTTTTTTTTTTTTTTTAGCGGCACAGTTTTATCAAATAAACTTCGGATCGGCAATCGTGATTTTTTTTCTAGCGCCGCAGTACGTATATTCAAATAAAAACGGACCTAACTTTACGTTTCAACGCCTTCAATTTATTGTGCGAGCAAGCCCGCATCACATTAACGGCATACATTTTGCGTTTTCAGGCGTTCTTTGAAAAATCAATAATCATAGTGTCGACAACACGTGCCATTTCGGGAGTGGGAGGGGGCGTGTCATTAACCTTTGTCTGACCGTCTGCGACCTCACCTGTACCTGTCAATCTGACCGTTGCGTCACGTGCATATTGTGTTCTGTATGTGAGTTCTTTAAAGTTTGACTGTTGCGTTGTGCGTATTGTGTTCTGTGTGTGAGTTCTTTAAAGTCTGACCGTTGCGTTGTGCGTTTTGTGTTCTGTATGTGAGTTCTGAATTGTGATAAAATGAGTTGTGAGAAACGTAAGAAGTTGTTTGTGTCAGTTGAAGAGAAACTCCGTGCTATCAAGCGTATTGATGCTGGTGAAACGGCGAAAAAGGTTGCCTTCGAGCTAGGAGTTGGGACAAGTACCGTTTCAGACTGGAGAAAAAATCGGGAACAAATTGAAAAATGGTGCACCTCTCAACCTAGTGTAAGCGCAAGTAAGGTGAGAAAAACAATGCGTACCGGTAAACATAACGAAGTTGAAGAGGCGTTATTTTTGTGGCACGAACATTTAAGAGGTAAAGGTGTTCCTGTTAATGGCCCCATGCTCCAAGAAAAAGCTAAGTTTTTCAAACGTGAAATTGAGGGGGATGATGGAAAATTCGCTGCCAGTGACGGATGGTTAGATCGCTGGAAAAAGCGATATGGAGTTCGGCAATTGTCCGTAAGTGGGGAAGCTTTATCTGGGAACAAAGACGCTGTCCCAGAATTTAAGACTTTCCTTCATAATCTCCTTGACGAAGAAGGAATTACCGGCGATCAGTTGTACAACTGTGATGAAACTGGCTTGAACTATAAAATGTTGCCCACTAAAACGCTTGCCTCAAAAAAAGAAGCTGCTGCACCGGGGTACAAAAAAAGCAAGGAAAGAGTCACGGTGTTAGCTTGCTGCAATGTCACTGGCAACCACAAGCTCAGGTTAACTCTGATTGGAAAATCAAAGAAGCCTAGGGCCTTCAAGAATTTGAAGAAAGACGAAGTGTTGCCATTATGGTACACTAACCAGCAAAAGGCTTGGATGAATTCGGCTATTTTTAAGACTTGGTTTTTTAATGAATTTGTTCCAAGTGTAGAAAAACATCTAGCAGCTAACAACCTGCCGAGAAAAGCAATTCTGTTGTTAGATAATGCTTCAACTCACCCCATTGCTAACGAGTTAAAGGACGAGGACATTAAAGCGGTTTTTTTGCCACCAAATGTCACTGCCCTTTGTCAGCCAATGGACCAAGGAGTACTTCAAGCACTTAAGTTGAAATACCGCCACCGACTTCTTTCTCACATCATATCGGCAATAGACCTTGATGAAGATTATATCACTGCATTAAAGAAAATTGATGTCTTGGATGTAATTAGGTGGGTGGCTGAAGGATGGGAAGAAATCCCGCCCATGACGATTGTTTCATCGTGGAAAGCTCTGTTAGACCACGAGGGCAACAAATTCACGGAGATTGACGGCGGGGAATTTAAACACGACGAGAACCATGTGGAAACAGAAAATGTTGTCTCACTGTTGGAGAAAATTCCTGGATGTGACGAAGTTAATGAAAGTGATGTACTAGAGTGGATGAACAATGACGACGAAGATGAAATCACCGACGACGACTTCATAAGAATGGTGTCAAATGACGACGAAGTGGTGGACGAAGAGGACCTACCTGAGCCCAAGCCAACCATTCCACACTCGGAAGGGTTCAAGATGCTGGACGGAGCCCTGGAGTACGTCAGTCGTCTAGATGGCGTGTCTGCTGCCGACATAATGTGCTTACGGAAGCTGAGGGACATGGCGGCAAAACAACGAGCCAAGACGGTAAAGCAGGCCACGATAAAAGACTTTTTCAAAACATAAGTCGTACTGAACTGTAAGTTACGTCAGTTTAAAAATACGTTACAGTACATTTTTTTTAAATTTAACTTATAGAGTAAACTGTCTAAAGTTACTGTACTGTATTTTTTATTTACGTCAAGTTTGTGAGGTTTAATTTTCCAATTGTAACTTTTTGTTTTTTATGACAGTTAACTTCCTAAAAGTAGGCCTATGTAGCTAAAGTTTTATTTTTTGCTTTGTTATTTACATCAAGTTTGTGAGGTTTAATTTTCCAATTGTAACTTTTTGTTTTTTTTTAATGACAGTTACAACTTCCTAAAAGTAGGCCTATGTTGCTAAAGTTTTCTTTTTTGCTTTGTTATTTACGTTTGTGAGGTTTAATTTTCCAAATGTAACTTTTTGTTTTTTATGACAGTTACAACTTCCTAAAAGTAGGCCTATCTAGCTAAAGTTTTCTTTTTTGCTTTGTTATTTACGTCAAGTTTGTGTTTACGTTTATATTTTGTTGTTGCAATAAAACAATTTTATGTTCATTTCGTGAACTATTTATTTAACTCCTGTGATTCATTGCTGTACTGTTGTACTGTATAGGCTACTGTAAATAGTTTATACAGTACATTTAACGTATGGTAAATTGCTTTATTTTTTACAGTTCCCGCATTACTATGCTACATTTTTTATCAATACAGTACAGTAGTGCTATTGTAAATTACAGTACAATAGCCGACTGTAATTTATTACGATAGTTTTAACTTGTTTTAGACGCTCCCGTTTGTATTAGCGCGTGTTTTGACGAAACCGCTCGCCGTAACGGCAAAATTTACGAATATTTGCTTGACTCTCGATAGTCCGGATTTTTCGTAATCCGGACCGGACGTCCGCCACATTAGTCCGGATGAGCGAGAGTCTACTTACATCACTACGAACTAGAAAACACGTCGCCTAGGTTCGTACACTCCTTTATAGTTGAGATAAGCCATTTTGATTGTAGCTGGTGTGACCTCGGTTCCATAAGAACCTTATTTACTAAAAATTAACTTTTTTCGCTTATACATGTTAGTTACACCTTAATAAACAATACCTAACACCATTTCGATAAAAAATATTAATATTTATCAATTTAATGCATTATTTAATATCTGCCTAGATAGAACAATAAATTACCATAAATTTCTATTGCTGTCCTTTCCCTTTGGCACGATTTTCTTTATTCTTTCAAAATATGTTTATTACATCATTACGAACTAGAAAACACGTCGCCTAGGTTCGTACACTCCTTTATAGTTGAGATAGGTAACTTTGAATTAAACAGGTGTGACCTCGGTTCCATAAGAACCTTATTTACCAAAAATCAACTTTTTCGTTTATACATGTTAGTTACACCTTAATTAACAATACCTAACACCATTTCGATAAAAAATAATAATATTTATCAATTTAATGCATTATTTAAAATCTGCCTCAATAGAATAATAAATTACCATAAATTTCTATTGCTGGCCTATCCCTTTGGCACGATTTTCTTTATTCTTTCAAAATATGTTTATTACATCATTACGAACTAGAAAACACGTCGCCTAGGTTAGCCCACTCTTTAGTAGTGTTGCTATGTAGCCTGGAATTGACCTCATGTGACCTCGGTTGCACGACGACGCTATTACACAACTTAATGTTTTATATGTCTTTTTACATTATTTAGCTGGTATTGAACAATAGTAGGCACCTTTTAGCTTATTGAAGAAGAAACTACCTCGATTTTAATCCAAAATTAAAAAAATTACCTAAAATTACTAACTGGCTACCACAAAAACCTACTGCTGGCATCTCCTGTTAACTTTTTTTCTCGTTTTTCTTTTGATATGTGTTAAACACATGGTTATGAACAAAAAATGACGTAGTATAGGTTAGCTCACTCTTTAGTAGTGTAGCTAAACAGCCTGGAATGGACCTCATGTGACCTCGGTTGCACAACGATGCTATTACTCAAATTATTGTTTTATATGTCTATTTACATTATTTAGAGGGTAATGAACAATACTAAGCAGTTTTTAGCTAATTAAAGTGGTAACCACTTCTGATTTTAACCTAAATTGAAAAATTAACTAAAATTACTAACTGATTACCATAAAAACCTATTGCTGGTATCTCCTCTTAAATTTTTTTCTTGTTTTTCTTTTGATATGTGTTAAACACTTTGTTATGAACATAAAATGACGTGTTATAGGTTAGCCCACTTTTTAGTAGTGTTGCTATGCAGCCTGGAATGGACCTCATGTGACCTCGGTTGCACGACGACGCTACGACACAAATTAATGTTTTATATGTCTATTTTCATTATTTAGAGGGTAATGATTAATACTTAGCAGTTTTTAGCTAATTATAGTAGTAACAACCTTGATTTTTACCTTAATTGAAAAATTGCCTAAAATACTAAGTGACTACCATAAAAACCTATTGCTGGCGTCTCCTCTTAAATTTTTTTCTCGTTTTTCTTTTGATATGTGTTAAACACATTGTTATGAACATAAAATGACGTGTTATAGGTTAGCCCACTTTTTAGTAGTGTTGCTATGCAGCCTGGAATGGACCTCATGTGACCTCGGTTGCACGACGACGCTATGACACAAATTAATGTTTTATATGTCTATTTTCATTATTTAGAGGGTAATGATTAATACTTAGCAGTTTTTAGCTAATTATAGTAGTAACAACCTTGATTTTAACCTAAATTGAAAAATTAACTAAAATTACTAACTGATTACCATAAAAACCTATTGCTGGCATCTCCTCTTAAATTTTTTTCTTGTTTTTCTTTTGATATGTGTTAAACACATTGTTATGAACATAAAATGACGTAGTATAGGTTAGCCCACTTTTTAGTAGTGTAGCTATGCAGCCTGGAATTGACCTCATGTGACCTCGGTTGCACGACGACGCTATTACACAACTTAATGTTTTATATGTCTTTTTACATTATTTAGCTGGTATTGAACAATACTAGGCTTTTTTTAGGTTATTGAAGTAGAAACCAGCTCGATTTTAATCCAAATTAAAAAATTACCTAAAATTACTAACTGACTACCATAAAAACCTATTGCTAGTTAGGTCAGATTTAGTTATTTTAGGTAATTTTTTAATTTAGGTTAAAATTAAGGTTGTTACCACTTTAATTAGCTAAACACTGCTTAGTATTGTTCATTACCCTCTAAATAATGTAAATAGACATATAAAACAATAATTTGAGTAATAGCATCTTCGTGACACCGAGGTCACATGAGGTCCATTCCAAGGCTGTATAGCAACACTACTAAGGAGTAGCTAACCTAGGCTACGTCATTTTTTGTTCATAACAATGTGTTTAACACATATCAAAAGAAAAACAAGAAAAAAATTTAAGAGGAGATACCAGCAATAGGTTTTTATGGTAATCAGTTAGTAATTTTAGTTAATTTTTCAATTTAGGTTAAAATCAGGGTGTTTACCACTTTAATTAGCTAAAAACTGCTTAGTATTGTTCATTACCCTCTAAATAATGTAAATAGACATATAAAACAATAATTTGAGTAATAGCATCGTTGTGCAACCGAGGTCACATGAGGTCCATTCCAGGCTGTTTAGCTACACTACTAAAGAGTGAGCTAACCTATACTACGTCATGTTTTGTTCATAACCATGTGTTTAACACATATCAAAAGAAAAACGAGAAAAAAAGTTAACAGGAGATGCCAGCAATAGGTTTTTGTGGTAGCCAGTTAGTAATTTTAGGTAATTTTTTTAATTTTGGATTAAAATCGAGGTAGTTTCTTCTTCAATAAGCTAAAAGGTGCCTACTATTGTTCAATACCAGCTAAATAATGTAAAAAGACATATAAAACATTAAGTTGTGTAATAGCGTCGTCGTGCAACCGAGGTCACATGAGGTCAATTCCAGGCTACATAGCAACACTACTAAAGAGTGGGCTAACCTAGGCGACGTGTTTTCTAGTTCGTAATGATGTAATAAACATATTTTGAAAGAATAAAGAAAATCGTGCTAAGGGGATAGGCCAGCAATAGAAATTTATAGTAATTTATTGTTCTACTGAGGCAGATTTTAAATAATGCATTAAATTGATAAATAATAATATTTTTTTATCGAAATGGTGTTAGGTATTGTTTATTAAGGTGTAACTAACATGTATAAGCGAAAAAAGTTAATTTTTAGTAAATAAGGTTCTTATGGAACCGAGGTCACACCAGCTACAATCAAAATGGCTTATCTCAACTATAAAGGAGTGTACGAACCTAGGCGACGTGTTTTCTAGTTCGTAATGATGTAATAAACATATTTTGAAAGAATAAAGAAAATCGTGCCAAAGGGATAGGCCAGCAATAGAAATTTATGGTAATTTATTGTTCTTTTGAGGCAGATTTTAAATATTGCAATAAATTGATAAATATTAATATTTTTTATCGAAATGGTGTTAGGTATTGTTTATTAAGGTGTAACTAACATGTATAACCGAAAAAAGTTAATTTTTAGTAAATAAGGTTCATATGGAACCGAGGTCACACCAGCTACAATCAAAATGGCCTATCTCAACTATAAAGGAGTGTACGAACCTAGGCGACGTGTTTTCTAGTTCGTAATGATGTAATAAACATATTTTGAAAGAATAAAGAAAATCGTGCCAAAGGGATAGGCCAGCAATAGAAATGTATGGTAATTTATTGTTCTTTTGAGGCAGATTTTAAATAATGCATTAACCCTTTCAGTGCTATGAAACGATATATCGTTGTTTAAAAAAAACCCTAAGGGATATAGAGAGGAAGGTTATTTAAAAAAAAATAGCAAAACGGCCATTGGTGACCTGCATGTTCATAGGATACACTACCAACCACTTAGCTAAAAGATTCGCCCAATCCGATGATTTCGAGGTGTATGTCTAAACCAAGGATTATGAACACCTCACTATGCCCCAGTGGTTGTAGTATATCGCTACAAACACACAGGTCACCAATTATTTGCCACACAGGACGGG